TTTATTTTACAGTTAAAATATATGTTTATTAAATAAAGTCTAATGTTACAACTAATCATGGATCCCTTTCAAGATAAGTTAACAGAAGTAGTTTTGTTTTTTTGACTAAACGTTTTCACTAACTTGGCTTTGTCAGCTTTTTCAAAAAAAAAATTCAAACTGGTTTACAGGATTTTTTTCACTTTGCTTTGATCTTTTTAGGACCCACCATGGTTACTGCGTGCTATAAGTGCTCCACCAATCAGAGCAACAGAGACTTTGGGGTCCTCAATTCACCACCAAGCTTCTACTGGAGAAGCTTCTACTTTCAGAAAAACCTGAGTATAAAGAAGCATTTAGGCCAAGAAAATTCACACTAAATTAAAATATATATATAAAAAATCCCACTTAGTGTAAAATAATAAATCCATTCATAGCTGATAAACAATTATGTGACAATGAAAGTAGCTGTTTGTACAGTAATAATGATTATTAGAGTCATTTAAACAGGTCTGCAGAGCTGGATTACWGCAGAACACAAGAAACATTTAGTCAGATCCAGTGTGTATCTTCATGATGATGTGCTTTTCAACAGATTCCCAACATTCAGCTCCAACGCAGGAGGTAGAGTTCTGAAGGCAGCAGAAACCAAAGCTGTGGAGGTCACGGTGATGGATGGATGTTCAACAGAAGCTCTCCTGTTGTCGCCTTCAGATTTATAATCCAGCAACAATCTGCGCTCGTTAGCCTTCGCCCTCGCAAAACATTTACAATTTAAACCGCATGCTAAAATGCTTTGAAAGGTTTGGAATTTTTAAATTGTCTTTATAACAGAGTGAACGAACCAATCAGGGCTGAGGAGCCATTTTTAAAATCAAATTTAACAATAGACAAAATGGGAAAAAAAAAAAAAAAAACAAGCTACATAAACAACAGAAGTGGCAGCTAGCCATTAGCCTACCAGCTAACGTTAGCAACTATTTTACTGCGGTCATTTTGTTTGGCATCCTGTTGCTGATTTTGATTTATTATGTTATTTTAATGTTTTCTTAGCATTAGTTCTAATCATTCCATTTGAGATTGTTTTATTTGTCATCAAACCTAATGCTAACTGTTCTTATTRGCTTAAAATGCTTTCAGCCTACTGGTAAGCATTAACAAATGTTTGGATGTAACAGTGGATGAGTTGAACCATGACCTAATTACAACCTTTTTAATACAGATATTAATCAAAGTGGAAAAATAAATGTACAAAAACAAAAGACAGAAATGGCAGCTAACTGCTATTAGCTATATCACTAGCTAGTAAGCATTAGCTTCTTAAATCGAGGGTTGTTGAGTTGCATGGCTTTACATCACTGATTTAGATCAATCACATATTTTATATTGTTTTGGTTTTTGGATTTTGATTCAGTTTTTGTTGCACCACATGATTTTGCCGTTGCTGTCACGTTGCGTTAAAATATTTTCAAACTCTCAGCAACAATTAGCACATATTTGGATGTTGTGTGGATGACCCCTCTACCTTCAAGTATTGCAGTTATTCATTTTTATCATTTTTACAGAAAAAAGCTTAAAAATCTGATAAATTAGCTCAATTCGGAGACAAAAACAGCAGCGTACAAACTATGGTACTAACTAGCKAATATTAGCATTTTTATGGCGACTTATGGAGCTAAATTGTGGCCATAAAGTTTGTTTTAAGAGTTTGAAACTGAAAACACATGATTGAAACGGCAAAAAAATTTTAAAACAAAAACAATTTAATTACTGAAAAAATGAAACTAAAAAAGAAGTTTGAAACTGTAAAAATATATTGTTTGATTTTTGATCCTATAATACAGAAGCCTGCTATACAGTTTTAATTRTATGATACAATGGCATGCCATAACTCTTTAGTTAAATAATACTACAGCCTGCCATGTTTTTAATTACATGATACAATGACGTGCCATACTTCTTTAATTACATGATAAARTGGCCTGTCATATTATTTAATTATATGGTACAATGACCTGCCATAACTTATTTGATACAATGACCTGCCACATTTTGAAATTGACATGACAGCCTGCTATATACTGTTAATTATATAAATCAATGGCAAACCGTAGTTTTTTATTATATGATACAACCTGCCAYACATCATTAATTATATGACAAACAACATGCCATATTTATCTAATTATATGATACAAGCAGTATTAAACCTTTTTTCTCTGTTTCAAATCTTTTTATTTCAGTTCCAAAAATATTCTTCCAATTTCAAACTTTATTTTTTAAACAAACTTTATGGCACTRATTTACCTCCATAAACCTGTTTCTATGAAGTTCACTGCTTTTCTACGTTCATGTGTTGTTTTGTGCGCTCCTCAACATGATGTTGGCACGTGACCCCCCCCAAAAAACAAACAAACAAACAAACAAACAAACAAACAAACAAACAAACAAACAAACAGATAAATTAAATTCAGAGTCATATAAAATAAATATATTAATTTCTCAGCCTGTTATTCCTGCAGTTTTTGGGAGCCCACTTAGCTTAACATAAATCCGTGTTCTYCRGTCAGGTTCTGTGYTGGAAGCTCAGGTGAAGGACGGACGGAGGGCCGCAGGTTCACCCTGCTGCGCAGTGGGACAGCGTGAGCTTCAGCAGGCCGTCCATGTGCATCTTGTACAGGAGTTTGAACTCGGCCGGCAGCTGGTGGGACTCCTGCCACTTGGTGGTGAACTTGGTGCCCTTCCTGTCGTAGTAGTGGTACGGCAGYTCCTTGCCCGTGTTGGGGTCCCAGCCGAAGGGCCAGAAGCCGTACAGGTGCACCTGGTCGCACATGGAGGACGCCAGCGTGTACATCAGGATGCCCGTGCTCAGGCGCTTCGGGGACAACCGCTTGGTTTTCCAGTAGCTGTTGGATAAAATAAAGACATGTTAAAAATTAAATACTAGTCTTGAAAACTAGATTTTTTAAAGAAATYGTAACAAGTGGCTAAAAAATTTGGGGACTTTTCTTCGTAATGATCTAAGAGCAAAATGACCGACGTTTTGATGTAGAAAGATCAAAAGCAAAGTTAAAGCTGTTGCTAATGACTCATTTGATTCACCATAGTAACCACACCTGTCTGTCACTCCCTGAACTATTAAGTCTTAATAAGGCAGGCAGAAACATATACTAGAAAATAAGCCTCAGTCGCTGTGTAAAAGATAGTCATATTGAAAAATATCCTAAACACTAAGTGTCCAATCATCTAGTCATTACACATGTAACCAAACATCTGTGTCTGTCACTCCCCAATTGAACTCCTAACAAGGCAGGCATAAACGCGTACTAGAAAATAAGCCTCAAACAGTTGCTGTGTACAAGAAAGTTGTACTGAAAAATATCTTCAACTTCAAGTGTCAGATCATCTAGTCATTACATCTGTAACCAAACATCTGTGTCTGTCACTCCCTGACTGCACTCCTAATGAGGCAGGCATAAACGCGTACTAGAAAATAAG